TCTGTTGCAGACGATTTACAGACGTCGACGTTCACTTACCGTCCGTGTTCTGGTGCAGAACATTCGGGAGAAATGTCAGATGAGCCACAACTTTTCTTTCAAAACAAAGCTGCCAACTGGGGTGGCAGCTGGGGTGGCAAGGCCTATTTTTAGGCTGGCAGTTGCCACCCCGCTAGGTGAAACTAGGTACAAATGCTACAGTACAGATGCAACTAGATGAGCTGTTAACTCTCGCTCTGACTTTTCTTTTTTTAAACACACACTCCGACTCACACAGGTTGATTTAAACACACACGCATTTTTCCCAACCGCATTCCGCAAGACCCGCCCTACTGTGCCTCTGAATTGCAGACTGTTGGTGGGGGGAAAAAACACTGACGGGATGCTGAATGTGATTGGACCAATGCGTTGACAGACACACACAGACAGTGGAACAGTCGTACAGGCAGCGCGCTGTTTGCAGTGGACATAGCGGAGAATTTTGACTCGTTGCGTTGTGGCGATGTCTCGCAGATAACACAGATAACACAGATAACACAGATAACACAGATAACACAGATAACACAGATAATACATATGAAAAGTATAATTTGCTCAGAGTCCAGAGTCAGTTGTGGTCCGGACTTTGAGGATGCCTGATCTAGATTATGTTAGTGTGAGTTACGAGCATTTTCTGGACTTTTATCAGGTTTTGGACAAATCTTTTCTGTTTTGGAATAACTTACTTTTAGAAATGTACCGACTTTTTTTTTCAGACCATATTTTCAAAAAGCTAGATGTTAATTATGTAAATAAACAGTTTGAGATTCAATGTAAGTTTCCTTTTTTCCGTGTGCTATTATGCTGTAATTGCCAGGCAGTTGTAAAAGGAAATATATGAAATACATTATACCATACTATCTTTCATTTATTCCACCCTGTTTTTCTAACCTTACCCCTTAAGTTCTGCTGAATATTGTATAATCGTAATAAGTTGAGTGTGATTATGAAGACTAATACAGTATAATAGTGCCTGTGTTTTCTAACCTTGCCGTCATAATATTTCTCCCGCTTATCAGTCAGCACAGAGCGAATGACGGTGCCAGCGTACTCGATCACCATCTCGCCAGCCTCGATGTTTCTTTTGCAGAAAAGGCCGCGACCATGAATTTCAGATCTAAGAGAGGATTTCAGATTAGGATCAGTTAAAATACATTTTAACAAAAGATGTTTTGGACATTAATGAAATTGTCTTTTTGTTGTTTTTTTACCTGTAAACTCCTACTGCTTCTTTGGAGATTTTTTCCAGGTGTCTGAATCTCATTGCCATGGGAAGCTCACTGCTGGTGGCTCGCCTGTGGGAGTGAGACACAGAAAGGATGACGTCACCATGGACAGGGGCAGATAAATTACCACCTGGAATAATAGATTTTTAAGCTTGGATCATAAAGTGCCACAAATGTAATCATCTTACCTGGAAGATTTAAGTGGGAATTCATCCTCCTCTTCATCAAAGGGGCCCACCATGACAGGGAGCTCTCTGTGCTGCGATGCCAGGAAGTTGAACATATCAAAAGTCGCTTTCCTGATTATAGGGAAAAAAGTTAATTAATTTGAGTTACAATTTAAATTACTGAACAAGAAGAAGACACAAACCAACCCTAACGGCCCCTACACACGGGGGCGTGCGTTGTCGCTTGCCGGCAGGGGGGGCTGGAACTCGACCAACAACCAATCACATGAATCTCCCGCCCCAGACACACAAGCACGCGGTTTGATTGGTTAGAGCTCTTACTGGAATATGATTCGATTGGCTGACGCCTCCGTCGAGGCGTCAAAAGTAGAACATTGCTCTACTTTTGCAGCGAGCACCGCGAGAGAAGCTACGCTTTGCTCCCACAATGCATTCAAAGTGAATGGGCAGAAGCGCACGCCGCCGTGTGTAGGGGCCGTAAGCCCTAAGCAAATGAACTCCTAAAAATAAATCCAGTTATGACAAAAAAACTGTACCGTGTGTAGACTTCAGTACGAGTGCAGCCGCTTGGATTGAGAGGAAGCTCTTCCTCTATGTTCTCGCAGCGGTGGAAGCGGAAGCGATGGCGTTTGCAGTTGGCGGCACCATGCAGCTGCTCCAGCAGGAAGATGACGGCATCGTGAACGACGCCGAGCACCCGCGGCCCGCTCATCCCGCCCAGAGGCAGCTGCTTCAGGTGGAAGCCTGTGCGGGCCTCAAGGANGCCAAACTTGACAGTCTCTTCTCCGTCATTGTAGACCGCAAATATCTCATTCCTTCAGTACTTAGGTCAATCATATTTCCACGCTCGCGCCAGGGCCGGGGGAGCCCGGCCCTGGCGCGAGCGTGGAAATATGATTGACCTAAGTACTGAAGGAATGAGATATTTGCGGTCTACAATGACGGAGAAGAGACTGTCAAGTTTGGCTGTACTGAGCATTGAATCAAAACACACTAAAGCTTTGGATCTTACTAATTTTGTGAGGCGTTTTGCTGAAAAAAATGGTAATCGCCGCATTCAGCTGTAATAGACATGTCAACTTGATGCTCTGCTCACGGATGAGCATACAACACTGTTAAAATGATGACCTTACGTGTGTAAATATATTTTTTTCTTTGTGGGGGTCTGCCCCCAGAAAACAGTTTTAAGTCCTGAGAAAGTCAAATAAGACGGTGTGTAAAACTACACTGCCCAGCCAAAGAAAATTAACCACTTTGATTTAACTGGCCAGTAGGTAAGGGCATTCCCCTGGAAAATAACTGAGTATAAAAGAATGCATGACTAAAGTGATGGAGAGTGGGAGAGCATGTTTGAAGGCAAACAAAAAGAGGAAATAACAGGTCAAATCAAGCAAATCCCCCTCTCAGATTCCACATTAACCAGAAGAACATAAACACTGGCTGGTGATTTGATTAATCAGTTTTGTGATGGAATACAAAATGCACAGTGCATTTCCTTAGCTTTGGATGAGCCCACTGACACCACTGACATTGCTCAGTTGCTGGTGTTTGTGAGTTTTTATGATGAGGCAAAGGGGGAGTTTGTTGAAGATGTGTTGGGCCTGACGAACCTCAGTGGACACAGAAGGGGGGAAGACATTTATAAAGCAATAATGGGAATGCTGAATGAAAGAGGGTGCTGCTGCCTTTATTCTTAACTGCAGCTCTTACACTGCGACTCTGAGGGATTACGCACAGACACAACAACAATGAAAACTGCTGCATACAGATTATTTTTGTTTTTGCAACCTCGTGTTAAGAATCTTGTTGCAATTGTTTAGAAGTTTGAATGACCGTAATAAACGGACCTTTGTCTTATTGAAAAAAAAAGTTTTGGACCTTTAAGATTTGTATTTGAGTAACCCTGATCTAGATTGATGGATTGCTCTAAAGTTAAGAGTAAATATATGTATTTTAGATTTTGGGCTCAACAGTACCTTTTTTTATTCTTGAAGAAGTTCCATGTACTGAAAATGTGAAATGTGATGGTTTCATCTCCCTCCCTCCCTCCCTCAGGGAATCGGCTGTTACATGTTCCGCATCGACGACTTCGACGTGGTTGACGCGACGATGCAAGGCAACGCGGCTCGCTTCATCAACCACTCCTGCGAGCCCAACTGCTACTCTCGCGTCATCAACGTCGACGGACGCAAGCACATCGTCATCTTCGCCCTGAGGAAGATCCACCGGGGCGAAGAACTCACCTACGACTACAAGTTCCCCATCGAGGACGAGAAGAGCAAGCTGCACTGCAACTGCTCGACGAGGCGCTGCCGTCGCTTCCTGAACTAGTACAACACACACTCACACACAACGCACAAATAGCCATCTTGACAAATGCACTTGAACTCAGGAGGCTGACTCTGATGAACTGATGAAGGTGACTGTTTTGACGTAGCCATGAGAGGGAATTCTCTGATACACAGATCTGCTTTGCTTTGTTGGAAACACAATTTATAGACTGATGGAGGACATTGCTGTCCCCTGAACTGCTGTGAACCAGATTAGAGCCATATGTTTCTGAGGAGTACTATTTAGGTAAATGCTGGAGTGTAGGTCTTTGAGAAAGTGCAGTTAAATTAAGGACAATGCACCTTTTTTGGGTTTTTTTTTTTTGTACCGTTTCACCATCTCATACACACATTCTTACTTTTTTACATTGAATTTGCCAGGAGCCTCTGCTAGAAGGCAATTATTACCAGCTACAAACAGTGCAAGCTAAGATAGCCCGATTGCAGCTATTACTGTTATGCTGGTATATTTGTAAATACAAGGTTACAGAGGAGGATGAGAAGAATTTATTCAGCACCTTACTTTGACACGACCCTCTCCAGCAGCACTGGTGTCGCAGCAGGAGGGACGTTCAAACACATTCATCTCCAGGCAACTTTAGTGCAGCTGCGTTTTAACTTCAGTCTGGAGACCACAAGGTGCTGGGGACATTTAACCCAAAAGGTAGTTTTAATATAGTTACTCAAACCCTTCCCTCCCCCCCCTCAGTTGAAATGTCCTGTTTTTATTTGTGACGGCAGAAATGCTGTGATCTAAATGCTTTTATCCCGCAATTACTGTCTGTTCTTTATCTGTTAATTTGTAATGTTTGTGTATTTGAGGTCTATAAGGGAGAGTTCCCTGGTGCAGCCAGGGTTCAAACTGAATATAATGATTTTGCTCCGCTGAGTCCCTTATACACCTTTTTGTATTTTTGTATATTTGAACAATAAATGTATATTCAACAAGCTGATTGAAATAAATGTGTTTGAGCTTTTAACTTTCTATTTGTAAATTGAAGTTGAATTTATAAACCGAAGCTATTGCTGAGTTAATCAAAGTTTAAGTTACATTTCACATCCTCTTGTCTCTCACAGTTGTACTACCTCAAATATATTATGAAGCAAGATTTAATGAATCTGATGACTCATTTGGTAAAATAAAGATTCCTTATTGTTCAGTTTCTAATCATTACTTCTTGATGAAACAAATAACATCAATAATAATTCTTGCTATTCTGCCTGCGACCTACCCCTTTGTGCAGCTGAGTTTAGCTCCTGGATCTAGAGATTTGAGACATTTTAGTTAAAAGGCGGAATGCTGTGGAAATATGTTTTCTTTTATTTACTGTATTGTTACTCAATTGGCTTATTATGGATCCTTGCCTGTAAAAAATTGTATAAAGAATTTCTAAACCTGTTAAATATTTTTTTACCTTCCATTTCTTTTTTAATTTATGCTCAATAAAAATTGGAAATGTTAAAATGTGCCTTGGATTTTCATATGATTTCAAATCAGTAAACATATTTTTTTAATGGAGATGATTAAGTGAACATGTGCTGTATAAATACCCATATACATTTGAAATGAGTCTTTAATATTTTTTACATGTATGGTATTTTTTTTGTTTGTCTTTTTTCCTGATAGTGGAACCAAGAAATCTACAGATCAGTGACAAACTAAAGAACATTTAAAAAACAATAAAAAAGTGTAAGGGTGTTAACCTGCAGCAGGTTTGTGCTCAATGGCAAATATAAAAGCCTCTAAAGTCTGCTGACTGTTTGAAACATCTCAATGTCTTCAGTTTGTTTTATATCTGGTGACGGAGGATTCATAGCAGAATTATATTAATCTTTAACAAACTATTTAGAATCCTCTATTGTCCTGTTTCATTACATGAGTGTTATTTAAAGGGGCCCTGTTGTGCTTTTTGAGGTTTTCTCTTTCCTGTGGTGTGTTGGATAGGTTTTCTTGCATGTAAAGTAGGGGTGTCCAAACTACGGCCCGGGGGCCATTTTGAATAGGCCCTCAGCAAATTCAAAAAGTATAATGACTTGAGTATAATAAACTTCTGCTTGTCTTATATTGTACTTCTTAAATATATATGTTCAAATATATTACACAGTATTGTTATTGTTCAGTATGTGTTAAAAAGCCCAATTTTCAAATACATTCAGTCAATTAAAGTTGAAAATATGTAAAGCCAAATAACACATTTACATAGCAACCTTGAAATATACCCTTCATGTTTCCTCTTATAAGCGATCTGAAGCTTCTGTTTTAAGGAATGAGCTGCTAACAAGATAAATGAAACCCTATGGAGAGTTGTGATGTAGGCTGTTTTTTTTCTTACAGCATTTTCAAGTTTACCTACATTGGATTGATTTGTCCAACTTATAACTTAACTTATGAGGCGATATACCTCACCTCTGGGAGGGGCCCAGCCCTTCGCATATCTTTCTGTATGTGGCTCCTCAGTCTGGACACCCCTGATGTAAAGTGTTTGCAAAGGCTAAAATCCCAAAGTTCATGCCAGTTATCTGGGTTTTGGTTTCAGACAGGGTGAAAAGAGTGGCTGCAGCCAAAATACCTTTTTGAACATTAAAGCATGTAAACTATAAAAAAACATTAGCATAATAGTTCCCCTTAATTTATTGACGATTTCACTTAATTTGTCACCTATCTGTATGCACAAGTATTTCCTTTACGTTGTTCCTTTTTTCCAGCGTTGCTGTAGTTTTGGAAAGAAAGTCTTATCAGGTTTGAGTAGATCACTGATAAACCTATTGAATATTCCTGCAGCGAACTGCTGAGTAAGAAGCACCTGCTCAACTGCTGTCTCACATATTATTGACAGATAAGAAATGTGACATCAGTTCAGTGCACATCAGCATCTAAAACTGGACTCCTCTCCTGCATTGATTCTCAAAGTGCTGGCGTCTGTGAAAAGGTTTCATATTTATTATCTACATCAGGGGTGTCAAACACAAATACAAAGTGGGCCAAAATAAAAAAAATGGGTACTAGTCGAGGGCCGGACTGGTTCAATGTTTATTGCAGAACTTATTGAAATGAACTTATTGCACATATTAAACTTGGAACTAACAAAGCTTAAATTATTGCCTATAAAAAAACATAAACATTAAATAATCAGTTGCATTAATTTCTTATGGCTCTATCTGGAGCTTTTCCAGAGTTATTTCTTATGATTACATTTTTTCACAGGCCAACAACAGCTTCAACAAAACTATTTCCCTCAAAGAAAAACCAAACATGCCCTGTTTTCGTGAGAGAAACAAAGTGCAACAAAGTGCAGAAGGAAACATCCATGTAAACTCAGTGTGCTGCTCTGTGATGCTAGTTCAGGCCAGATACTTGGCATCTCATCTTGGGTGCAAGTTCATCAATGTTTGGGGTCAGGCTCTGAGCTGAGGAAACCCTCAGGATGGAGTGAAGGTGTGCGTGCAATATACCGGCCGGCCAGATCTATTAGTAATTACAAATTATCCTGCGGGCCGAAATTAAATCCACTACGGGCCGGATTTGGCCCCCGGGCCTTGAGTTTGACACATGTGATCTACATGATCATGATATATGTACAACTTAAATATCTGTGATGGTTAATAGATGTTTTACTTTACTAACAAATATATAACTCTGTACCTGGTAAAAAATGGACTATTTTAAATGTCTCTTAATGTTGAGTTCCCTATGCTTGATTTTTCCCTCCTTTTAAATGTTTTGTGTGTGTTTTCAGTTGTATTCACACTGCTGCCTACCTTAGCCAGGTCTCCTTGAGCACACATACAAAAACATATTCACGAGTTCTGATCTACTCAAGAAAATGCACATAAAACATAAAAATACCTAATTGCTGAACACATAACAAGTTTGCTTTTTAAACAGAGTTTAATCTATTAGTTCTGATGTCGTTCAAGGTCTTTTTGTTGCCTGCAGCCATATGGCTCTTTCCCAGAACAGTTTTGCATTTTACCTTCCCGACCTTGAGAAATGTGCGAACGTAAAGAGCAGGAGGCGTATATAAAGAGTTACAGGCTGAACTTTCTCTGACATTCAAAAGATAAGTTACCATGAAGGCCCTGATATTCCTGGCTCTGCTTGGAGCAGCGTGTAAGAGACTTGCCGATCACTTTTTATTTCTCTGGTTTTTGATAAATGAATATTTCTGCACTACGAGACCTTATAGTTTAAAACAATACTTTTAACATATGAATGGTTTTGTTTATTTTTGTATTCTTGGAAATAAAGTGACCTAATGTGCGTTTTCAGTTGCTGCTGAGGAGGAGAAGGTTGTCGGCGGGTACGAGTGTCCCAGAAACTCGGTTCCCTACCAGGTGTCTCTGAACGCTGGATACCACTTCTGCGGAGGATCCCTCATCTCCAGCCAGTGGGTGGTGTCTGCTGCTCACTGCTACAAGTCGTAAGTACAGGAAATCACGTTTTTCCCCTGAAACCCGAGTCTGGAATAATACTTTTCCTCACCAGGCAGATTTTTTCTTGTAACCTCAATCCCTGGTTATTTTTTGAAAATCTTAAATAAGGTAATCATGAATCATAACGTCCCGCTGCATAAGAAAAGGAGAAAGCGAAAGATGTTGTGAGTTGGTTCTTTTGTACATTTCTGTATTTTTTAAATATAATTATATGTTTTACTACTCTACTATGATTACACCAACTAGAGTTAATGCTTTGTAATCACAGTCAGTCAAAAACTTAATAAATCTGAAATTAGATATACAGTAAATATTTTTATGTATTGGAAAAGCATTCGTTTAACATTCATAATTTTACAAAACATAAATATTACTGCAAGTAGATTCACATGTAAAACCAACATGTTTCAGTATATTTGATAACCAATTTATGTTTGGCTCTCCAATAATTTTATTTTATAACATCATCTTTCATTATTTATAATTGTAGCTTAGAAATTACAATAAGCAAAAGAGAAAGCTGTTAGATGCGATAAAATATTTTAAATCACATTAAATTCTTCCATCAGGCCGAATGAGTCTGACCTCGAAGGTTTAGTCTACTCAGTCCACTTAGTGCAAACCCGTGGAAAAGAATCTTGGGAATTTGAAGGAAGACTTCAACCTTTCCAAAATATATATTTCATATATTATTTATATCCATTTATCAATAGTGTGGCTCTGAATTAAGCCACTTCCTTTTGACAGACTTACTGCCTGCTGCTAGAAGTTTTGTATACGTTTATCATTGATAATCCACCCTTTAAATGAGATCCACTGATGTATCTGACGCCAAATACATTATGATTGTAATTAATTTGAAATATTTCTAAACGTAACTTTCCTAATTCCACCAGTCGTATCCAGGTCCGCCTTGGCGAGCACAACATCGCTGCGAACGAGGGCACGGAGCAGTGGATCGATGGAGTCAAGATGATCAAGCACCCACAGTACAACAGCTACAACCTGGACAACGACATCATGCTGATCAAACTGAGCCGCCCCGCCACCCTCAACAGCAACGTCCAGACCGTGGCCCTGCCCAAGCGCTGCCCCCAGGCCGACGAGAACTGCATGGTGTCCGGCTGGGGCAACCTCTCCGTCAACGGAAGTAAGGGATGACTCATGCCCAGGATTATTTACAGAGTTACACAATCACATAACAAAACACATGTAATTATAATCAGTCACTAAGAAAACATATGTAGTTCAAATGTTTTTTATTGGTGATTCAAGGAGTTACATCCGGAAGTATTATTTTCAGTAAAAAACGTTAATTAAAAAATATAGCAGTTTTTTTGCTCTGTTCCCATCTTAATTCCGGTTAAATACAAATTTGACAGCAATTAAAACATTTTGTTGAGCTTTATCGCACAGTTAAAAAAATGGTTAGAACCTTATCCCGAAGTAATCAAATACAACTCAGGAAAAAAATTAAGAGACTACTCAAAATTGTTCTTAAATCTCAATCTCTACATGTATGGCAGCCATTCCATTCCAGTGTCTGTTGAATGCCAACACAGGGAAATGTTGTCAGTAGTTTATAGAATAAAAACAAATGTCATTTCACTCAAACACATACCTATAAATAGTAAAACCAAAGAAACTCATAATGCTGCACTGGTTAGAGCTGTACATTTAAGGATTCATTTGCAAAATGGGAGTCATTTAACTTTCCATTGAAAAATGAAGTCATCTTACTTCACTCATAATATTTGAATATTGGCAGATACAGTAACTGAGACTTTCCTTCCTGCTCCACAGACGACTTCCCTGACAGGCTGCAGTGTCTGAGGCAGCCCATCATCGATGACAGGATCTGCAAGAACGCCTACCCCCACCTCCTCACCGACAACATGCTTTGCTCCGGTTTCATGAGCGGAGGTGCCAGCAGCTGCCAAGTGAGTCGGACTGAACCACAGTGAACACACAGGGGTCAGGATGTGCAGGAGTGTGCATTTTTTCCAGCAGTACACAGACACACTATAGCACTTATTTCAAAGTGAATTTAGATGATATACTCCTTCAATGCAAATGCTGCATGAATCCACTCTAAAATCCTTTAATTATAAAACAGATACGTTTTCAGTGTACCCGTTTTTAATTCACACCACTGCCACTGCTGTGTCTGTATTGATGACTGCAGGAAGATGATGCAACAGTATTGCAAGAGACATTTTAAATCACTGGACATCCTTCATTTTTTCAGCAGAGACCAATAATTACATGCTTCTCATGGCATACACTGATTAAATATCCGATCATTTAAAATAAAATGTCTTATTTGAAAATAAGTTGATAACCTGTAAAAGTTATTAGCGCCTCTAAGGTAAAAAAGGCCATGATGCAGTGAGCAAAGAAAGATGATAATTCCACAGCTTTGACCTTACTGAATCCAACCAACCTATTAGTATCTATTGGTAACAAAAGAAAAACAGTTCTGACTCTGCAAATTATTATACATTTTAGTAAATTAGAGTGTGTAGATTTGGGGCGTTTTAATTAAAAACAACTTGGTATATGAACGGATGATCATTGACAGGCTACAATTAAATTAGCGGAACAATAAATAATAATATAAATTGATAATCCTTTTGCCCTGAACCCGATATATATAGTTCACCCCTAGGTTTTTATATGTATATGATCAATGTGACTGGAAAGAAGCTTAAAGATTACAGATGCTGTGGGTACTTGTACAATTGGATGATGATGAACATACAGTATATGATATACGTATTAAGCAGCATATAAAATAATAAAGAGATGTATTTCTGTGAAAAATAGTCTCTCAATCCACAACTCTCAACCACCTGCAGCAGTTTTGCATTATAGAGCAAACATCTGTCAACATATTTTCATTCATAGGCTAAATTATACAAATGGGTATTACATGTCATTCCATGTGATCTTCTTTTGAAACCTTCAGAAAGACAGTTTGAATGCAATGCCTGCCATGTACCGTGTTTGTACTATTACAATAACATGTAAACCTGTGTCTTCTTCTGCTTGTGTTGCAGGGAGACTCTGGTGGTCCTCTGGTGTGTAACGGTCAGCTGCAGGGGGTCGTGTCCTGGGGTTATGACTGCGCCATGCAGGGACATCCCAGCGTCTACGCCCGAGTGTGCCGCTACAACAGCTGGATCAGCAGCACCATGTCCAACAACTAAACACACAGTCGCCCATACATCCACATGCAAGCTGACTTTGTAACACCATACTGTTGTTATATTTGTATTTTTTTCATATACATCTTATGAATCACATGTTAAGGCATAATATTCAAAATAATCGGACAAATAAAAAATATTTCATTAGCATTGCCCAAATCTGTTTTGTTTAATACATTGAGTCTCAAAGTTATGGTCAACTAAACATGCTTTGTTTTTTAACTTATTCTGTTCTCTCACAAGGCTCGTACTGTCTTGAGATTCATTTTTAATTTTGGCAAAACAGCCAAGTATAATAGTTGATTTGTACTAATTGTACTATAGACACATGCATGTCTACAAAATGCTTCCTGCACTCTGGGCAATGGAGTGATATGTGAGACAAGTAACTTGTGTAAATAAGAAGTAAGGCATAACTGCATTTTATTTGCCTTTGCATGAGTTTCTTTGATAGTTCTTTATAAACGTTGCTGTTTCTTTCTGAAATCTAAACAGAGGAACGGATACTGACAGCAGAGGGGAGAGCCATGCAGCCATATCAAACCGGAAAGCATGCGCATGGGTCATAAATATAATTAGGGATGGCAAGACGGTATAAATCAAACCTAAGGACATAAGTACCAGCAATATGGCATAGATTTGGCCTAATCGTAATTATAATACATTTGCACACAAAAAAGATCCTCTGATTATAATTGTACAGTTTAAAAAGCCCCAATGAAGGCATCATTTGACACCATAAGTATAAATCCCAGGTGGTATATACTTATACAGTATGGACATGCATGTACTAGGTAAGGCTGAACTAATCAATATTCCCATTGTTGATTAATAAAGAAATAATGTTTTTGTTTAACTGTTAAGTCTCTAAAATGAAGGAAAATACACATTCTGTCATCCAGTTGCTTATTATTTCTGAGCAATCTGAGAGGCAAATCCTTGACATTAGAGAAGCTGGAATATACCAATTTCCATCATTCATATTCAGCGAAAGAATGAATGAATAATCGTTTCAGCTGTGGCAGCAGATGAATCGATGCAAGGGGAAACACTGGCAGTGTGACCAACCTGCTCTGGTGTAAAACCGCTTGTCATCGCAGGGAGCCAGCTCCTTGTGTCTGGCAGGCTTCAGTGTCAACCCATTCTGGGACCTTCAGTTGGCCAAACCTGAAAAATCCATTATGATTTTATGTGATGAACCAGCTGACTGGACCGTTTTCTCAAACAACATGAGGCAAATGAAAATGGAATTTATTCAACACATATGGAATTTTAAGTTATTACTGTGTGCAGGGGCGGACTCATGCTATCTGAGGGGCAGGACCAAAAGATAATAATAGGGCAAAGGCTGCATGCAGTTTTCTCTATAGGAAGGTCCTTGTATAGAGTATATTTTTTTACTGTTTAATACTACTTTAACTCAAGTTAACAATCTAAGTACTTCTTGCACCACCGCTTCCATCTGATTTTCAGATGCATTTAATAAGCTTGATACAGAGAAATAGCGAAAACAATTTAAGATATGGTTTCCTTGCTTAAAATGTCAACATTGTATTTCACTAGTTCTAAATATTACTACACTTACAACCGTAAATAAATCAGAGACAATGCATTTCCTTTTGTTAAATTTGCGGCAGACTTGGTGCTGTCTTTCTCCTCCTGTCACATTATCTATATATCCTGTATGCCAGTGATGATTGACGTGTGCCATGCTGTCTGTAGCCAGGTCCTCTTCTGGGAGTCTGTGACATTTAGCAGGCTCTAAAGGAAACTGCAGTGCCAGGTTTCTGCCGCAGCATCCCTGCTGACTCCCAGGCTGTTACTGTGATTTCTCGCATACATTGTAGCCCACATACAATATTTTCAAACCACATTTGCTTTTTTATTCCTTTCACACTGCCCTCTGCAGACCCAATACACTTTATACATTATCCAATTCCAATTTATCAAGTGCATCTTTTTAATATCTTTCAATTTAAAATTCCTTGACTGACTTTATTTAGTTGAATACACTTAATAGTTAATATTTGTGTCTGTAAACAACATCATTAATTAATTCTTAATTTTAAGATACTTATAATGTATAAACTATGCATCTGTTCATGTAAAACCTCTGGTTAGGATCAATACGGTATTATCTTATCCATAAATAAAAAATCACCACTAAACTATAATATTTGGCTTACAAAAACGTCAACCAAAAGTGCCTACAATTATTTTTTGGCAAATCCGAAACATAACTTCAGGAGCAGCCAAGCGTAACAATCATAGTAACAATGCTCCAATAATATCTGCAAACATTGTGCTGTAGTAGGCTAGATCAGTGAGGAGGGCCTTAAGAAAGGAAACATGTATTCAAGTACACAACTATTTGCAGGAAACTTTTTTCTTTGGTCCAGATACGAAATATTGAAAAAAGTACACTTGTGTGTTGGGCCCTTTTTGTTCAATTTGCATACAACCTGTGTAATTGGACAGGTGGATATCAGCCATTTCATAATTTCTGAGGTGAGCTTACAGAACTTTCACAAACTCCTGCTGCTGGTTGACATCTTTCACTTTGACACATTAAAGACGGACTGGTGAGCTCAAATTTAATTTAGACTTGTATCATAATGCCTTTTTAGAACTACGCTACGCCCGTCGCAGCCGTTGGAAAGGCTGGAACTTTTGCTAGCTAGCTGCTAGCTTATATAGCTAAAATAGTGAGCGGTTAGCTTACGTTAGCCAAAGTTACTTATAGCACTCATGACATAATATGCTCTATCAGTTACTGACACATACCCCTCTCAATTTATGAATTAATAAAATATATCTTCCTTTTCACATACGCTCCAAAGCCCAAAGCCATGTGGTCGGGTTTTGGATGTAGGTTTGTCTCACTTTAAGCCATGGCAGCTAATGCAGCTGGAGGATGGATTCCCTAGGCGGGAGGGAGGGAGATTGCCCGATTTAAATGGATGATAGCCTGAAATGACCTCCATAGCAGCTCCAAATTTCTCCTCCTAACCCAGCCTTTAAACCAAAATAACTCCACCACTGACGGTAATATGAATTGTATATTTAATTTGCATAGCCTGCCTCGAGTTTGTGTCAAATGGAGGTTTAAACAATGTTTAATGAGCTTATTCACCGTGATGGTGATGCTGCGTATGAACTATTCCCATTGTTTCCCAGCAGAGGGTAGTGTTGCTGTGTCACCCATTTCACATAATCTCTGGCCCATTTCTATGTTAAAACAGACCCTCGGAAGACTTTTCAAGAAGTGTGCTGCAGTCAGTTTACGAGAAGGCAACTTCATGAGAAAACAGCACCAGTGGATGGTAAGAAACATTTTACTTTGGCTTCTTTTGTTTTCAACCAACCAGGAGCCTTAGCTGCCTACATTATACAGTCTAACTGCATCTTTGATTTGACTTGCTTAGAGTGCTTATGGATTTAAACAAATAACGAATTCATGTCTATCATAATATATTTGAAATTATGACCTTTGATAACACTTTTCATAAAATAAAATATACTTGCATGTTTGTCATGCCATCTTTTTGTTGTGTTCCAAGGTGCATTATGCAGTGACTACTATGAGGGTTTTATCAATAAAATACATATACCTGGCCCGAATGTAGTAATGTCTAAAGACAGCAAATAGATGAAGCTTCATAACCAATTGACATAAATGTTCAGTATCTCTCTTGACCTGCCATGACCCGCCTTTTTCTTATTTGGTCTCACCTGATAAAATATTGGTAACATTTATTAAATCATCCCAAAGCATCATAAATGCCACCCTCAACATCTGCAGGAAACCTGTGGCAAAACATAACTGCAAAATTACTTTATTTCTAAAGATCACTTATTTCAAAAGCCTCTCAAGGTCACATGTATGTAAGTTTTACTCAGCTTTTTACTGTATAACATTTTAACACAATGGCATATATGCCAACCTTCATCCCAACTGGTATTGTTATTTATTCTGACTTGTTGCCACATAGAGTAGAAAATATAGAACGTTTAAAAATGTTTGTGACCAGCGAATGCAAACCTGACAATATTAATTGTCTATCAGAATTATAATGTTAACATTTTCTATGAATTCAAAAGTAAAAAAATAAAATGTGATCTGAGCCAAGTCTGACGTGTGCATGTCACAATTGCAGGCTTGCGCCAAAGATTGAGTAATAACTTGCCAAACAAAAAAACAATCGATTCATTGTTTACTTTTTGTAATCTTTGGTGAAAATACCAAACATTAGCTTGTAATAGCTTCCTAAATGTGAGGGTTTTCTCCTTTTCCGCATCTTATTTGATTGTAAATTGAATCCCTTTAGGGTTTTAATTGTCAATTCAAAAACATAAGCCAACTGAAGGCATCACTTTTTGTCTCTGGTAGCTGAAGATAAGACTCTTTCATTATTTGTGAAATTTTTGGACTGAATGATTCATCAAGAAAATAAAAGTAGGATTAATTAATGAACATCCAATCATTGCTTGCAGCACTAATTCAATTGTATGTCTCCAAATAATTTCAATTTTTTTTGTCGTTTTTTGTTTATGAGTGTAGTTTGACTCTATAAACTAAAGTTCTTCTCATTCAATTATTTATTTCTCTGACCCCAAAAAGTAATTTATTTCCTTTCTGGTATGTAGGCTAACATGATATGCGGATTACCAGCAGCGTGTGAAACAGTGCATCTAAAGCCAAGGTAGATGAATGTGAGTTTACAAATGTGCAGACATGTCGACATACACACGTGCAAACACACGCACACACACACACACACACACACACACACACACACACACACACACACACACACACACACACACACAGAGAGCAGCCCTGTGCTCTCTATGTCAGCCGGTCTAAGCTTCTTCCCCTCCCCCCTCTCAACATCTCTCTCCCCTTTTTTGTCCCCCTCGCCCTCTCCTTTTCCCTCCTGCTCGCTCTCTCCTGCCTGCTAGCACTATTTCAAGCCTCTGCCTAGGAGAGAGAGCGAGAGAGGCAGAGACAAACAGATGCGCAGTTAGAGAGAGAGAGAGAGAGAGGGGAGGGGAAAGCAAACAGGATTTAGAGTTCAAGTGCACGTGCAGAAAATAGGCTGTATAGAGGAGAGTCACTTC